CGCTCTCTACGGGATGATGCTTGTCGCCCTCACTCCAGGCTACCAAATAGCTGCCATTGCAATGTCGTTCTTCCTCACCACATGGAATATCTTCTCCGGCTTCATTATTCTACGAACGGTAACCTTAAGCAAACAAAAACATGATTGAAACACTCACTAAATGCATGTCTGCCATTCTAGGGGTGACTTTTTTTGTGTTTGCGTGTTGTGTTGCCAGGAAATGCCAATATGGTGGAGATGGTACTACTGGGCATCCCCAGTGGCGTGGACATTGTATGGGTTGCTGGCTTCCCAACTAGGAAACATAGAGAGTCTCGTGGAAGTGCCAGGACAAGGAAGCATGTCAGTGAAGCAGTTCTTGAAACAATCATTTGGATTTGATTATGAATTCCTTGTAGCTGTTGCAGCTGCCCACATTGGGTTTGTGTTCCTCTTCCTCTTTGTGTTTGCCTATGGAATAAGATTTCTGAATTTCCAAAGGCGATAAACCAACGAATGATAAAGAATGATATAAAAGAGAGAAAAATATCATTTTATTTTAAAATGTTTATTTTTTGGGGTCTGTACAATTTGTATCTAGGAAAATAAACAGTGTTGGGACTCATTCGTCCTTCTTGTGAAGTTGTATCTAGTCATAATTGTGTAGAATGAGAGATCTTCATTCACATTGTTCATTATTATTACTAGTATATAAATAGGGCGAATTTAGTTTAAGGGGTCCAGTGAGATGTGACAAGGTTTATAGTAAGCCAGTGTGTACCATCGATTAGACTTCTCCCTAAATCACGTTTCTTCCCTTTTTCCCTCTACGATGATTGACTTGGCGGCTGGCCAAGTTTCCATTTCATTTTCCAGATTCTTCTTCAACGACAGAATGCATGAAAGACATGGAAACAAAAATTTAAACTTTCATTAATCTTTTATGTCTAAAGGTAAATGCAAAACCATGAAGGAAGTGATGGATTAATTCTATCAATGTGAGAGGTTCCTATCCTTATTTTTATTAATCCCAATTCTTATTCTTTCCATTTTTATTATTTTCATCTATGCATCATACATGCCACATCGATCCCTCTTTTCCCATTTCAACTATATGTCAGATTACAAATGCGAGCATACTACATGCTGACATGTCATGTATATATCTCTTTGGGTCATTTGCACAGCTTGTAGATGTATAATTTCACAACTGTATCGTGATCATGAAAAGGTGGTCATTGATTTTTTATACCACAATCACCGTCTCTAAAAATTAGTAAGTATTAAAGTTATCTTTTCCTCGAAAACACACTTTATTTACCGTCACTCACAAAGTCTCAAACATTATGTCTTTATATAGCAATCCATGTATTCTTAAAATTCACACGTTAAAAGTAGCCAATATTCTATAATTAGACTCATCATAATTGTTTCAATTTAATCATCAATACAATGACACTTCTAATAACTTTGCATAAGGCATATGCATAACACAACGTTAGCCAATTTATTAAGAAGGAAAACTTTAAACGATATCATATATATGGATGATTATGATGAAGAAAACAACTTTGCATAACATTCCTCAATCATCCCAGAGACCCACCAAGAGACAGATTGGAAATGGAGGGGAAAATGATTAAATTTATAGAAAACTACTTCCAATTTCAAAAAATCTGGATTGCTCTTATGCCTTACAGCACTAAGAAGAAATCCTCTTCTCGCGCCATTTCGGAATGCAGTCATCCCTTGTCCTTCGATCCTTCTAGGATCACTCTGTATCTCCACTTCGAGAACTAATATAATTCAAGGCTCGTGATCGCATCTCTGACCCTCAAATGCACTGCTAAAGCATCAAATTGGAATTGGCACAAGGAGTAAGAGAACTGTAGGGCGGGTAGTAGGTCGGTATCCAGTATACCTGGTACCGATTATCCGGTATACCGAAAACAGACAGTGTACCCACCGAATATCGATACCGAATGTCAACTGGTATACCGAATAGTCGGTATCCGGTATTAATACCGATATACCGAATACCGGGTAAAACATGGAGAGGACGTTAGGCTGGTAGGATGAAGGAGGAGTTAGGCATACGTACCTTGGGATCGGCCGGTCGGGGATGGCGAGGTTGGGGACTGCTGCTGGTGGTGAAGAGAAGAGGACGACGGAGATGGTGGGGGCGGCGTAGCTCTCCGTCGGCGACTCTGCAGGTGGTGACTGGTGAGCTTCGGCGAGAACTGTTGCTGCCTGGCTGCTGGTGGGGTGGTGGTGAAGAGAAGAGGAAGAAGTAGGGGGCTGGCTGCAGGAGGCGGCGGACGAGGCTGGCTGCTGGGGGCGGCGACCGGGGCTGGGTGCGGCGAATCAGAGGAGAAGGAGTTGGCTGTTGGGGATGGACGAGGGAGGGAGGGAGGTGAGGTCGATCGAATTCGAAATTATTAGGGATTAGGGTTGGGTTTCTCAACGTCTGCTGCCACCAAATCCAATTCGCAATTCCCAAACCCATTCCCCTATGCGCCGCGTTTTACTTTTTATTTATTTATTTATTTAATATTCGGTATTACGGTATGCTATCAGTAATTATCGGCCGGTATCCGGTATTACCGAATGAAAAATTACACGCTCGAATATCGTCGGTATCCGAATATCAATTTACCGATTAAAGAGAAGGACAAAAGGGCAACAAAAAGTTTGTGGGTTCAGTTTCAATTTCAATTTAACCAGTGGGGCTTCTCTTAAAATTGTAGCAAAAACCTTCTTTGAAGAAGAAGATAGAAAACCCAAGTACAATAATGCTGCTCCTTTTTTCATCACCCAAAATTTTCTCCTCATTTCTTTTTCCACCATATAAACTCGTGGAGAAGAATTTGACAGATGAAAAAAAGGAGCAACATTATTGTAGTTGGGGTTTTTCATTTTTATTTTAATATTTAAATAAATAGATAAGAATGCTATATTTTTAATGGGATGTTACTCTCATTATTATATTGATCGTGAGAATGAATTCTCTTTGTGACTTATGTCTTCCTACTCACGTGCATTAATATTAGAGTTATACGAGTTATGTATTTGAGTCAATATCGCGCCTCACTTTATCAAAAAGTATTATGCCATAACAAAACTATTTTACATTCTTCTCTTATGTATTTTCTTCAACTTTTCTATTGTGTATGTTTATCTTCTCTTTATTTTTCAACATTTTCTCTGAGTTTGTAAAGTTCATAGTATTAATCATTGACAATTAAACAAGTATTCTTTTCTATTTAACCAAATTGTTAACTATCTCATCAATTTGCATTACATAAAAATTCTGCAAGATTTTTTAGTTTTTACACAATAGTTCAATCAAACATGTCACTTTTTTCGTAATTTAATTCTTTTATTATGAATTCAAATACATTTCTCTATCTAGTATAATGGGTTTGATGAGGTTGTTTTGGGCTGGGCTTTGGGATTAGGACTAGGCTAGTTATTAATTATTGGGAAAGAGTTGTTTTGGGGTTCGGTTAGAAGAAGGGTAGGAAGTGGCCGAATGGTCTAAGGAAAGTCAGGAAAAGTGGTAGGTTTCGGCTAGGACTAGGATAGTTATTAGGGTTTTCTAGCCTATAAATATGTAAGTTTAGCATTAGTTACGTATTCAATTAATAAATCAATGGTTTATCAACATTAACGTTGTTCTTTTGCTTGTTAATTACAAGCAAAACTCTTGAACTGTGGGTGACAGTAACTTGATTTCTTGAGTGCGGAGGTGTTTGTAGAGTAGACTAAGTGGCTGACTTCTCTTGATATTCTTTTACATCCTAATTCGATAGGCGAGGTTGGTGGCAAGTGACAATGGTAGATATTAACATCATTCTAAAAATTCTTGGGGGTCGTTTGGATGGATCAATTGTAAAACGAGACAATTGGATCAATTGTTTCATTTTACAAAACGAGTCAATTCAGATTACCTGCCCTCACTCCAGACAATTGTAATTGGCTCAAAATGAGTCAATTCAGAATTCTCCAGCCCAAGTTGCTTCATCCAAATTTTCTGCTGCCAAACGGATCAATCTAGCACAATTGACTCAAACGAGACAATTGTGTCAGATTGATCCATTAGAATTCCTCGTCCAAACGACCCCTTACCTTTAAGTGACTTGGCTGAATAGTTCTCATGATTCGGATTCAGTTCAAGTGAGTAAATCCAAAAGCTAACTTCTTTAAAGGCAGCATAGGCGGATGCGTCAAGGGCAACTATTGTGGCCTTTTATTGCTCGTTCTTTAGCAGTACTATGGGATGTTTCCGCAACTTGATATGGTAGGTTCTGAGAAGAACTAATAATGCCTGTCAATCCATGGAGTTCACAACTGCCAAAAATGGCAAATGACGACAATGTTGTCTTCGGCCGATTCCCCTGTTCTACAGAACTAGTATACAAGTGTTGAATATATAAATGGAGTAATTACATGCAGAATACTTATTGCTGCACTTCGCCATGGCGGGCATCGCTAATTGTAACATTAACAATGGGGAAGGAGTAAGACTAGCGAGCAGCAGATCAATGGGGTCGACGTCATTGAGCCGCAGCGGAAGTTTTGGGTCGGAGGCAGGGGAGGAAGCCAAGCGGCAGGGCATTTCGAGTTCCGAGAAGGACGAGCTGAAATGGGCGGCAATTGACTTGGTTTCTTGACTGGGGTCTGGTGAGGAGAAGTTTGTAGAATAAGACTAGTTTTTTGGTTCTCTTGATATTCGTTGGCACCCTAAGCGAGCTTGCTGACAAGTGACAATGGTAGAAATCAACATATCATATTAAAATTTCTATTGACCTTTATGTTACCTGGCTGAATAGTTCTCATGATCCGGATTTAGACCTGGCAAATTATAACCCGACCCGAAACCGCCCGAAAACTAGAATTTTTTGTAACTCGAAATTCAAATGACCCGAACCCAATAACCCGTGATTTTTTGGGTCGGGTTAGCGGATCGACCCAGTAGACCCGTTCCATTTTATATATCACTCCCAAAATGATAAAATCACTCATAAATTGGTGAGATATTTAAAAAAAATCACAAGGATTTGAATGACATGTTTGATGTTTAAGGATCAAATATGATGTGTTTCCTGTAGTAGTAGTATTACTCTTGTGATTGTTTTTTGATGATTTGCGCAATTTGTATTTCAATTCATTAGCGTGGGAGGATTTGAGAATATGTTGATTGGCATGTGTTAGGTAAACTATTGTCATGCATATGTGAAAATTTGTGTTCTTTAAGAAAATATGAAGCATGTTAGATATTGTTTCTGAGAACGCTCATAACCCGAAATTACCTATAACCCGACCCAAAATCGAATTGGGTCAATATTTGACCCAAAATCAGCCAACCAAACATGACCCGACCCGTAACCGAAATCCCTAACCCAAAATTACCCAACCCGACTCGATTGTCGGGTCTATCCGAATTTATTTAAAACGAGCCAATCCGAAAGCCAACTTCAATAAAGGCAGAATGGTTCTCTTGGTTTTCACTATGAAATGGTGTCTCACCCACAATTTTTTTACTGTTGTTTTCTGTGGGGACTCTCAATTGGTCATCAAGGATGTGACATTAAAGAAGACTTCACATTCAAGAGCGGGAGCTATATTAGAGGAAGTTCACTCTCTTCTTTCCTCCTTCCTATCTGTCTCGTGTCTTTTTGCTCCTCGGAGCTTCAACAGAGCTGCCCACCTCGTGGAAAAACAGGCTCTTTTATCGGGAGTCCGGTTGCATACGGACTACCGTTCTCTTTTAGTGTCTTTCTTGTAAATGTGTTGACCGGCCATGCCCTGGGGGCTTATCTTGGATAAAAAAAAAATGCCAGCTTCAATTTAGGAAGCATGGGAGGTTGGGTCATAGACAACTATTGTGGCGTTTTATTGTGCGTTTTTTTTAGCAAAGTGGCAAGTGTGACGAGCCACGCTAATGAGGCTTCCCTGCCTTGATGCGCCAATTTCACCAGCAGTGTGAGGAATGGGAGCGTTTGCTAGTAGATTGTGCGACTCCGAGTCTGACTCCTATTTTACATCCAACAGGGTTGGCTGAGGCTCCTACGATTGTTTGTATGTGGGATGGGGCTACACGAGCTGGGTCTCATTTGGCTGACGGGATGGTTCTTTTTGGCCCTCATAGGGAGATCCTTCTGGATCAGGGGACTCAGTTTCGGTCTATTGATGATCCTCTAGTGGTTGAATCACTTGCCCTCCGGGAAGCTATCTTCTGGTGTGTGGCCCATGGCTTCCTGGACGTGAAATTTGAAGGAGATGCCAAGGTCATCATCGACAAGATCAATCGAGCGGATACCAGAGATAGTAGGTTGGGGTTATTCTGGAAGAAATTGTGCAGTGTTTCGATACTCACTTTGGGTTTAGTTTACGATTTGTAGGTCGGAATAGCAATAGGGTAGCCTATGCGGTGGCTAGAAAGGCCTTTACTTTGTACCCGTCTACGCGTCGTTATTTAAATTTTCAGGTCTGTCTGAATTCCATAATGTAATTATCTTCATATTTTGAATCAATATATGATTATTTTTTGTAAAAAAAATAAAAAAATTGAGCCACGCTAATGCCGGTCATGGACTTTAGAACCGCCTCCGAACCTGATGTCATTGTTCCACAGAATTAGAATATAAGTGTTGAATGGATAGCTGGAGCTATTACCAGAATACTTAGATAATTGAATTATAGGGTTATTAATGAGCCGAGCCGAACCGAGGTTTGCTTGTTCATGTTTGGTTCGTTTATAAACAAGCCGAGATCATTGTTCATGTTTGGTTCGTTTATAAACAAGCCGAACTTGATCTCGGCTTGTTAATAAACGAGTTGAGTCGACAGTTGGGACATTTCATAAGCTCAAAACGAGACAGTTCATAAGTTGTACTCAACAAGCCATCTAATCAAGCTAGTTCACGAGCCGAACATATTTTAAATCGAATGAGCTTTTATCGAGTTAAATACCGAGCTGCTCACGAATAGTTTGGTTCATTAACCGTCATAGGGACAGATAACGCCAAACCCTTGGGGCTTACACTCATTAATTTAGGAAGCACTAGCATAACGTCTCCGGCTACCATGGCATTTAATTTTAAAGAGATAGTTTGAATGTTGACCTAAAAATGAAAGAGATGTTTTTCCAAAAACAAAAAAAGTTGAAAGGATCTTGTAACATCACGAACCTTTTACCGATAAGATATTGTTCTCTTAGGCCTAGACCCTCATGAATTATACCTAGGGATGGTATTCAGTAACCCGGTATTCGGTATGACCGGTTACCGAACTAGTTATCGATGGTGTTCGGTAATACCGTTTAATTTCAGTATCGGTATTCAGCAGTCAAAAATTAGAAACGTTAATACCGAAACCTAGTCGGTAACATACCCACGACTAGCCGGTATACCATAATACCAAATCAATTGTTCCTAGTTGAAAAACATTAGCAGATTGTCCCCAAATCCTACCCTAATTCCTTGCTTGGCCTCCCTGTGTCTGCCTCCACGCATCGGGCTTCTCTTCTCTGTTTCTCTCCCAAGTCCGAGTTCAAGTCCTGCCTTCCTCTTCTCTTCACCACTCACCACCAGTCTATGACACAGAGAGGTACACCGTTGTTGCTTGAAGCTTCAATGGCCACCAATGAATCTCTTCGAACTTCATCCGCCGAGTGATCTCTGAGTTTGAGGACAGAGAAGCAGCATAGGGACGACTGACGAGGACGGCGTCCCTCCTGATAGTGGGGGTGCAGACAATTCTGGCGGTGAGGGCTATTCCGACAGGTATGGTTATTCCCAATTCCGACACATTCGATTTTGCTAGCTGGCGGCAGAGATTTCTGTAACTCGTGGACGACGGGGCTGTCTTATTGCGAGTTGCGATATCAATTTCAGGTGAGAATTCCCGGTCGGATGTGTTCTCTCCCTCCCTTCCACTACTGATTTGATCCTTCCCTTCATTCTAATTCGATTGAAAAACTTGAATGATGAATTAGTTCCAAAACACAACAGCTCTTGTCGGTTTTCAGGATACCGGATATTACCGCTTACCGACTATCCGGTATACCAGTGTATCGACTAAGATCTGGTATCAGTATTCGGCAGCCACAATACCAGAACCTGGTATACCGAATACCGGATCGGTAACCGGTATACCAGATACCGATCGAATACCAGCCCTAATTTAACTTAGGATACTTATCAAGGTGACTTACCATAAGGTCACTCATCATTACTGTGCTACACTATGAGCACGTTTAACTTGGGAGTTCTTTCAAGAACTCCTCCATTTCATTCAAAAACACGTCTTGTTAGTTAAGTTCGGTTTCATACTTATGAACCGTGGATCTCTCCCTGCTTTGTCGATGTGGGATTCGCAGAGGGTTTATTTCATTCTTAATCTTTCTTTCCATGAGTTTGTCCGCTACAACAACATGTAGTCGACGAAGTGATGAACTTGCATTAGAGAGAAGGGTCGTTGAGAAGATGATTTCTACGTTTAACCTTCTCTCATGACTCTATTGGTTCAGTTTGTAGGGCTAGTTGAACCTTCTGTTGTTTTTGAAGAAGCAACTTTTGGCTTGAGTTTTTAGAGAAATATTTAAATAAACAGTTGAGTGTTTGACTGTATTTTTTAATTTTTAATATAAGAGGTCATGTAAAATGACTAAAGATTATTTCTAATTAAAAATATTAATAAAAATCTAAAAAATTAAAAAGTAGTCAAAATGAACTTTGTGAGGTATTTTTCATATTGAATAATATTATATCATAATTTATTTAATTTTTAAAATGATATAAAAATTATTTTTTCTAAAAAAAATAAAATATGGCAAGTATAGTTTTGTATTTTCAAAACTTGGCTTTTCACAAAAAAATATTTGGAACTTAATACTTTTTTAAGTTATGAAAAACACTTTTAACCTTTTTTTAAAAGCCAAACTTTTAAAGATGTTTTGCTCGACTTCAACTTTTGAACAATAAAAAAAATATAGGCAAAACATAGTCGTACTCTTTTTGCTTTGTTTATTCATCATATATGGCTCTCTTTTATATGGATTTCGGGAATGATCACAGGTTTGAGGCGCTTCAACTCGCATTGACCGGGTCAAATTAGATTGGATACCCATGGATTTTGGTTCAATTGTCCTTTTCAACAAAACAAAAAAGAACACTAAAACGGATAAAACTCGCTCCAGATTTAAAAATCATCAACACCAGGTTCAACTCGCTTTGACCGAGTTCAATCGAGTTATTAATAAATTCACACATGACACAACCCGCCAATCAGAAAGCGGATAAAACTTGCACCTGTTTGAAAACTTGTAAACACCATATTCAAGTTGCTTTGACCGGGTCGAATTGTGTTGGACACCCATGTGTTTGGGTTCAATTGTCATTCTCAACCAAAATAAAAAAGATAAATAAAGAAAACCTAAAGTGGATAGAACTCACCCTCGACCCAAAACTGTCAACAACGAAATCAACTCGCTTTGACCGGGTTGAACCGAGTTTTTAACAAATTCACGCTCAACCCAACTTGCAAATTACCAAAGCAGATAAAACTCATTCTCGATACAAAACTCGTCAACACCATATCTGGGTTCAAGTGTCACTCTACCAAAAGCAAAAGTAGAAATAAATAAAAAATATTAAAGCGGACGGAACTCGTTCTCGACCCAAAACTCGTCAACACCGTGTTCAACTCACTTTGACTGAATTGTTAACAAATTCACTCTCGGCCCAACCTGCCAACTACAAAAGTGAATAAAACTCGCTCACGATATAAAACTTGTCAATACTATGAATTTGGGTTCAATTGTCATTCTCAACCAAAAAAAAAAAAATTTTGAGAAATTTAAAAACACTAAAGCTAGGTTCAAGTCATTTTGATCGGGTCAAGTTAGGTTGGATAACCATAGTGTTCAATTGTCATGTTCAACCAAAAGAAAATAGAAAAAAAAAAAAAACTAAATCGGATAAAACTCGGCCACGATACAAAACTCGTCAACACATAGCATATATGCCATATGTTTGGCCCGGCTTTTAGAAGCGCTTTTCGATTTCAAAAGCTGAAGCAGGGCCAAACGCTTCTAAAAGCTCGGCTTTTGAAAAGTCGAAAAACGCTTTTGTATAACATAAAAGCAGAAATTCTGCAAAAAGCTTTTTTGAAAATACAAGATCATCCTTAACATATTTTAACTTTATTTCATAAAATATAATTTTATTTCATTTATATAAAAATAAAATAAATATATTATTTAATATAAAAGAAATCTAACAAGATTCATTTTGACTACTTTTTATTGTTTAGAATTTTTATTCATATTTTATATTATAAGTCCTTTATAGTCATTTTACACAACTTCTCATATTAAAAAGCACTTCTAATAGTTTTTCAATCAAATACGCAACTGCTTTTTTGAAAAATACTTCTCTAAAAGCTCAAACCAAAAGCTGCTTCTGCAAAAGCTACAGCAAGGCCAAACTAGCCCATGGTATAGATTTTCGATAGCGGCCTTGGGAAACTTAGTATTTCAAGAAGTGTTGTGAATTGGTGAGCGAATGCGAGAATTGGACAAAGCATATCTGGTATAGATCTTCGATGGCAGCCACCCAACTAATAATAACTAAACATAAAGGTTTTGTAGAATAGAGAATGGAGTAAAAGAAAACACGTGTCATGGAGTTTTTGGAGCCGGCAACGAAAAGATAATAATTCTGATTATAACAATAGGAGGTTGCGTCATAGTCTCATGGACTACTATGGTGGAATATTATTGTTCGTCTTTCAGCGAAATGGCTGTTTCGGCGACTTGGTAAGTTGGTATATTCTGCGACCAACTAAAGGAAGAAAGAAAGAAACAGAGCTTTGGGATTAAAAGGTAGTCACGCTAATTCGCTAAATCTAATGCCGGCTGTGGACTCTTTAAGAACGCCAAATACTATAATTCTCAACCGCTCCTAGCCTGAATATTAGAATACGAGTGTTGAATTGAATGTATTAGATCCGAGGCTGATTCCCCTGTTCAAGAGATTGGGACTAGAATACTTAGCGCCCTGCCCTGCTGCAATTCGCCATGGCGGGCATCGCTTCTGATCATGCCACTTGTAACAGTAACAATGGGGAATCAGTAGTAGTTCCCAGAAGATCAATGGGGTCGACGACGTCGTTGAGCCGCAGCGGGAGTTTTGGGTCCAAGAGTTCACGGGACTCGGCGTTTGACGGCGGGTCTGGGAGCCAAGCGGCAGGGCATTTCGAGTTCCGGAGGAGGACGACGGAGGACGACGAGGACGAGCTGAAATGGGCGGCAATTGAGCGCCTCCCCACCTACGACAGGCTGCGGAAGGGGGTTCTGAAGCATGTCGCCGACGGCGGTGCAGGGGAAGTTGAGCTGCAGGAAATTGACGTGGGGAAGCTCGGCGGAACAGAGAGGAAGCTGCTGATTGAAAGCCTTCTCAAAGTCGCGGAAGAGGACAACGAGAAGCTGCTGCGTCGGATCCGGCACAGGACCGATGCAGTCGGGATTAAGATTCCGACGGTGGAGATTCGGTTTGAGGGTCTCTCTGTTGAAGGCGATGGGTACGTCGGAACCAGCGCTCTCCCCACTCTGCTCAATTTCGTGGTGAACACTGTTCAGGTATGTGCTTAAATTCATCCCCTGCTCTATTCGCCGGCGAATTCCAAATTCAGGTTATAACAATTGCCAAATAACTGACAGGGGATTCTTGGGTTTTGTCGGGCTTTCTCGACCAAGAAAAGAGCGGTGAGGATTCTTCATAATATAAGCGGAATTGTAAAGCCATCAAGGTAGTAGTGTATACAGTTCCCCAGCTTTAAAAATTCATCACTTTTTCAAACTTGAGATGAATACTTCCTTTGAGTTTGGCTTGTTTCAGAATGACTCTGCTCTTGGGGCCTCCGGGATCAGGCAAAACTACCCTCCTGAAGGCACTTTCCGGAAAACTGGATAAGAATTTGAGGGTCTCTATCCATCTCTACTACCATCCCTCCACCTTTCTTGGACTGGAAATCCTGATGCTTATATACGTACGCAGGTGTCAGGAAGGGTGACATATTGCGGACATGAGTTCCACGAGTTCGTGCCTCAGAAAACTTGTGCTTATATCAGCCAACAGGAATGTCAACTTGGAGAGCTGACCGTCAGGGAGACGCTAGAATTCTCTAGTCGATGCTTGGGAGTTGGGACCAAGTATGACTTGTTGGCTGAGCTATCCAGAAGAGAGAAAGAAGCAGGAATCATGCCAGATCTCGAGGTTGATGCATTCATGAAAGCTACATCCATTTCTGGACAGGAAAACCAGTTCGTTGTAGATTATGTACTCAAGGTATTTAAGAATTTATGTTCGTCTTCATTATTGTGCATACTTTATTTGTACTTGGTAGTTGGAACCTCCTAGATATAATTATTGTCTTGCTGTGGAATTATTCCCTTCAATGAATAGTGAATTACCTTAAGCAATAGTAATTAACTGATTGGTTTGATGGCAGCTTCTTGGGTTGGACCTATGTGCGAACATCATTGTCGGTAATGACATGAGAAGGGGGATATCTGGTGGACAAAAGAAGCGTGTCACTACAGGGGAGATGTTAGTTGGACCTGCTAAAGTGTTTCTGATGGACGAAATCTCAACCGGATTGGATAGTTCTACGACTTACCAAATTGTCAGGTTTATGAAACAAATGGTCCATATCATGGACGTCACCATGGTCATCTCCCTTCTACAGCCTGCACCGGAGACTTACGAACTCTTCGATGACATCATCCTCATTTCCGAGAACCATATTGTTTACCAAGGTCCCAGGGACAACGTCTTAGAATTCTTCGAAAATATTGGTTTCAAGTGTCCTGAAAGGAAAGGAGTAGCAGACTTCTTGCAAGAGGTTACTTCCAGGAACGATCAGGAGCAATATTGGTTCAGAATCAATGAACCTTATCGATACATCTCAGTAAGCGAATTTATGATGTACTTCAAATCGTTCACGATGGGAAGAAAGCTTGTCGAGGAGCTCATGATGCCTTACGATAGATCTAGTGTCCATCCTGCTGCACTAGTGAAAGAGAGATACGGAATCTCAAATAAGGAACTCATGAAAGCATGTTTTGGGAGAGAGTTGTTGTTGATAAAGAGGAATGCTTTTATATATATCTTCAAGAGTGCGCAGCTCACCATCATGTCAATAATTTGCATGACTATGTTCTTCAGGACTGAGATGAGGGCCGGGCACTTGATAGACGGGAACAAGTTCTACGGTGCTTTGTTTTACATTCTGATCAACATTATGTTCAATGGAATTTCGGAGATGATTTTGACCACACAAAGGCTTCCTGTGTTTTACAAGGAGAGGGATTCCTTGCTTTATCCGGCATGGGCATTTGCATTGCCGATCTGGATGTTGCGAGTTCCAATCTCATTTGGCGAGTCATTCATATGGATTGCCTTAACCTATTACACTATTGGGTTTGCTCCATCAATAGACAGGTTTTTCAAGCAGTTTCTTACACTCGTTTGTATAAATCAGATGGCTCAAGGTCTATTCCGCTCTATTGCGGCAGTAGCTAGATCAATTGTGGCAGCACCAGTCGTTGGTATGTTCATGTTGCTAGTCATTTTTGTCTTCGGAGGGTTCATTATTGCCAAAGGTTGATTATTTCTCTAACATATTCCCTGTTTATTAATGATCACGCTCTTATAAACGTGACACTGATGATCTCTTTATGCTTGTAGATGACATCCAACCATGGCTGATTTGGGGCTACTACATTTCCCCAATGATGTATGCTCAGAATGCTATCATGATTAATGAATTTCTCGACGAAAGATGGAGTGGTGTAAGATCAATATCTTGAGATTACCTCTGAATTTGGTTCTTTATCATTGACTGACTTATCCAAATTATTATCTTTTGGCACTACACACTCATGTGGCTTTCCTTGTTGCAGCCCAATCCTGATTCTAGAATCGCAGAGGCAACAGTTGGGAAGGCCCTCCTCAAAATGAGAGGCATGTTTGTAGAAAACAAGTGGTATTGGATATCAATCGGGGCACTCATAGGATTTACTATCATATATAACACATGCTTCATTCTCGCCTTAACGTACTTGGACCGTAAGCAACCAATCTCTTCTCATTCCGATAATAATTGTTATTTGATATGTCCATCAATGATGCAACAGTTGTAGCCACCATATGTTTGAACTCTGTGCTTGTAGCTTTGGAAGATTCTAAAACCGTAATATTGGACGATAATCGAAATAAAAAATCATCCAACACTTCTAAACTAAACTCAAGTTCCATCAAGATGTCCACAACCACATCCCGTGCCTCTATGAAAGGTATGCCAGTTATAATAATTTTGATAGTTACAGATTCACATCATGTTTTGCACCTTCTGGTAACTTTAGAACATGTCTCTTTAA